TTACATTTCTCATTGGGAATTGTACCTTTATATAATGCATCTTGGTTCTTATTTTTTCCCCATTCTTAGCCCTCCCTTCATGCCCTCCACCCTTCTCTATTTACAAAGACTTTATTTCCATTTTTTCCATTTCTCAGCATTTTTCCTCTGCCTCATGAATCTTCCTAGGCCTCACACTGCTGCTTTCTGAAACGCTTCTCTGGAATGAGAGAGGACAAATCTGCCCTTGAAGTGAGCCGAGGTCTCTGTCCTCTCCTAGGGACACCTTGTAGCCTGACCGGTGATTCCCCATTCTAAACTACAACTCCTGGGGGTGCCACGGGCCTGTTCCAATCACCACTGACATCTCCCTTTTGCTCTTTTGAGAAGAGTTCCTTCTCAATGTTTGTTTAGTGACTTGCGTTTTTAAGTTTTCTAGCTTTAAAGTTAAAGGAGGGGCTGGGGATTTAGCTCAGTGGCGCTGGCGCCTGCCTTGCAAGTGCAAGGTCCAGAGTTTGATCCCCAGTACCGGAAAAAAAAAAAAAAAGCTTTTGAGGTGGAGGAGTTGAAGGGAGGGCAGGGGAATGGGGAAAAAATAAGAACCAAGACAGATTACATAAAGGTGCAAATTCCCAATGATGAATGTCATTATATTGTATACCTAAAATGTACCAATAAAATAAAACAACAACACAAAACTACAAGCCAATCAAAGCGGACGGTGTTAATGGCTGAAACAAAGAAGTCAGACTAGTGGGAACTGGCCTTGCTGCTGAGTGTTTCATCAGATGCAAAGAGGGGAGGCGCAAGGGCTGGTGCTGTAGGCGAGGAGGCTCTGCCACCTTCCCTCTCTGGCCCGCTCACGGTCATGGGCAGCTCCTCTACTACAAGGGCGAGCTGAGAAACATGGGCATGTCGCTCCCAAGTTCTGATCTTTCTGTTCTTCCTCTACCCCACATAAGTCATTTTCAAGAGGGATCCTTGCTAAACTGTGTGTGATAAAATAATTCCTATCACACCATGACTATCACTTGCTAAGCTTTTTTATTCTGAGTAACTTCAAATATAAGGAAACTGCAAAAATAACAGAACTCCCCTATAACATTTAGGCATAGTTACTTTTTATTTTTTTAACATTTTATTACCTTTTTTTCCTGGTTTTTTGAGACAGGCTCTCAATATGTAGTTCAGGCTGACCTTGAACTCATCAACCCAGGCTGGTCTCAAACTCGAAGTGATCCTCCTGCCTCAGCCTCTTGAGTGCTGGGATTACAGGCATGCACCACCAGGCCCAGCTACATTTGTTTGATTATTTCTCTCTTCATCTCACTATTCATATTATTTATTATTCTGAATCATGAGAAATTCTAAAAATCATGCCTTTGTTGTGTTCTCAATGTTTCAGTCTGCAGTTCCCATGAACAAATATATATTTTCTTATATAGCCAAAATGCAGTTGTCACATCAGGAGATTTGACCTTGATCCTTACTGTTGTTCTATTCTCCAATCCAGAATCCAATTCTGTCAGTTAAACCAACAAAGTTCCTTATGGTAGAATGTCCTCCTCCCTTGTAAGCCTCAGCAAAAGATCACCTACGCATTAAATGTCAAATTTCTTTAATCTTTAATCTGGCCAGGCATGGTGGCACCAGCCTGCAATCCCAGCACACTGGGAGGCTGAGGCAGGAAGATTGCAAATTCAAGCCCATCCTGGGCAATTTAGTGACCTAGCACTACTCTGTCTCTAGATAGATAGATAGATAGATAGATAGATAGATAGATAGATAGATAGATGATAGATAAATAGGTAGATAGATAGATGAGGGGTGGTTGGAAATGTATCTAAGGGCAAAGGCTCTGGGTTCAATTCCCAGAACTGGAAAAAAACAAAAAACAAAAACAAACAAAAAAATCCACTTTAACCTGGAATAGTCCTTCAGCCTTTCTATTTCACGACATTGAAGTGTTTAAAGAGCTCACATCAGCTATTTTGTACAATGCTCTTCAGCTGGACTTGCAGGTCTTTCCTCAGGACCTGAGTCAGGCTTGGGCCCCAGGAGAATCTGAGCAAAGCTGCACAGCCCACTTGGCCGGGTCGCCTGAGCGGCTAACGCTGATCACCGGCTCGCTGGGCGTGGTCCGGCTTCTCGCTGGGAGGCCCCTCTGTGCAGAGAGGCCCAGGACTGAGGAAACACCTGCCCCTCATCACACCTGATCTCTGCAGATTTAGCACTCATTGCTGTTTCCTGCCCAAACCATTTTTACTGCAAAGATTGCAAAACGGTGAGGTGATTTTCCAACTCCATCCCTCCCTTACTTCCTTCCCTTTATTTAGCTATCCAATATCAGCATGAATTAAAATATACTAGCACGAGGGCCAGGGATTTAGCTCAGTGGTGCCGCCGCCTGCCTCACAAGCAAGGTCCCGAGTTCGATCCCCGGTACAAAATATATATTAGCACGACCCGATAGAGTCCAATTTTTGTGTGGCAGGGGTGGGAACTGAGGATTATGCTTTCCTATTTTATTCAATAAGTTATAATCCTTCACTGTTTTAATTTCTTTTTAGGTAAGTGTCGTCCTTCACTCTAGCTCCTGTGTCTTTTTGACACTCCGCCCTTCAATTCCTTACTTTCTGGGCATCAAGAAGCTCCTGTGTCCCCAGGGTGTCTGCGAGCCCTGCGTGGGCCTGGGTTCAGCTCAGGGAGGAGCCCTGATTGTTTCTAAAGACAAGAATGGGAGAGAGAGGGGCAGTGGGCATATATGCCTCCTGCATTTTAGGTGAAGAACTCATTGATGCTAAGTAACATTGCTCATGGTTGAATTGTAGGCATTGGGTTAGGTTGAGGTTTTTTGTTTTGTTTTGTTTTTATGTTTTTTTGAGTCAGGGTCTCACTCTATAGTTTAGGCTGGCTTTGAACTCACTATGAAGCCCAGGCTGGCCTCGAACTCCTTCCTGGCAATCCTCCTGCCTCAGCCTCCCAAGTGCTGGGATTACAGGCATGTGCCACCATGCCCAGAATATTTTGAGATTATATTTTTTACTTTTGTTCCAAAATAAAATTGAAGTATTTTTTTGTTCTTTCTTCCAATTTATAAATTGGCCCAGGCTGGCCTCGAACTCACAGCAATCCTCCTGCCTCAGCTTCCTAAATGTGGGGATTACAGGTGTGTACCACCATGACATGCCTACATGGCTTCTTTCTTACTTCTAATCTATGGAATTTAATATGAAATCATATGGAATTTAATCATGTAACAGGAATATCAATTTTATTTTGTTTTTTGTAAATGATTAGCTAGTTGCTCCAACTGCATTTATAGAACAGTTAATAATTGCTGTGTGGAAATCAATCTACTGATTGCCAAGGTAAAGTAATAATATTCTAAATGTTTATATCTAGATGGATTCATTTTGAAAACTTTATTCCACCCCAGGCCTGCAAAATCAAACCAAACTAAATTTGTTCTTTTTCCTTTGTCTTTATTTTCTGTTCTCATAATTGTGTTTATTATAACTAGATCATATTCCTCAGTGTTTACAGAGAAAATTCTCTTCTTTATTCTTTTTTTTTTCCAAAATGTCCTTAATATTCTCTAGTCTCATTTTGAAGAGGTCAAGATTTAGGGGGAAATTGCTTTAAAGTTTAACTTGAGGAAATCTGACACCTTCCAGGAGCATGTGTTTTTCTTCATTTATTCAAGTCTTTCTTTTCTTCTTCTTCTTCTTCTTCTTCTTTTTTTTTTTTTTTT